ATGTGGTCTGCAGACATCTGTATTTAGCCTTGGTGAGTGTCCTAAAATCATCAGTTTGTGTTTTTAGAAAAGTCACGTGTCCCTTTTAAGAAAGTATCGGTAATTGGTATCGGCAAGTACATGAGGGCAAGTACTTGGTCTAAAAGTGGTCTCGGGACATCCCTAGCTACAATACTGCATTCCAGTGCAGGGGTGTTAAAAAAATGCTGCATATCTTTAGGTCAGTCCAATAAAAAATACACCTGTCTTTGCAGTTTTTAACAGCTACACAGGGCATTGCTGGGGGGATGCATGTAGCTTGACCACAAGCTCTGTGCTTGCTTCTGGAAATCCTTTAACAGGTTATACCAAGTGTAGGCAACGTCAGCACTCCAACTGTGTTGAATCTACAAATCCCTTCATGCCTCTGCCAGTCGTGGCTGTTAGTCTTGCAATGCCTTATGGGACTTGTAGTTCCACAGCTGGAGTGCCGAGGTTGCCTACCCCTGGTTTATACAGAAAAAATTACTAGAACAATTCACTCCATTTATATTGAAGGCGCTAATTAACCGGCACTCAGCCTGAATAACAGACCTGTGATGTGATTGTGGCTTTGATCAGAACGACAAGCGTCTCTTCTTTACTCCTAGGATCAGGCTGCCCAAGACTTGAGGAAGCTGGAAGATCGGGACAAGGAGAAGAAAAATGCCAGGTATGGAGAAGCGGGGGGTATAACCACCAACCCTGAATACACGAACAGGCCAGGCCAGCATTGATGTAGACGTGTCCCTCAGGTGCAGCGTGACTGGTGTGGTATCTCTGATGCTGTTTTATTTCATCTCCTGAAGCTGATATTTTAGGGTTGGTTAGCGCCCTGCAGCAGTTCAGTCATCTAGTGGCTCCTCCTATCGGGGGTTCCTAAGGCAAAATGAGTGAGGATATCTTGCTTCTGGAGTTCTTTAGAGATATAAGAGGGGAGCATGTGACCGAGCTCATTCGTAAGCGTGCAAAATTAAACGTATGATTGGCAGTTAATAAGACTTCACAGAACACGTGTAATAACTCACAGCAACCTAGATACTGATGTGATGTGCACTATGTAAAGCGCTGCCTAAATTGTCGGCGCTATAGAAATACCAATAATACAAATAAAATATATAAATATAT